AAAAAAAAAAAAAAAAGAAAAGAAAACGAGATACAGCTCCTACCTACATCTGTAATTCACCTATTTACAAACATTTAATGGAAAGTTAACACAAGCAGGGGTTGTGCTAACTACTGGGAACACAGCAGTCAAGGAAATGGGCACAGTCCCTGTCCCTGAGGAATTTACAGTCCTGTGATGGAGACAGACCTTAACTTATACACACACACACACACACACACACATTAATAATCATGTAACATGCTGGGGTGCCTGGATGGCTCAGTCGGTTAAGCCTCCAAGTCTTGATTTCGGCTCAGGTCAAGATCTCAGGGTCATGAGATCGAGCCCTGCCTCTGACTCTGCATTGGGCGTGGAGCCTGCTTAAGATTCTCTCCCTCTCCCTCTGCTCCTCCCGCCCCCCCCCAAAAAAGAATCATGTCACATGCTAAGCCATGTGAAGAAACACTAGAGAGCTACAAGAACAGAGCAGCCTCATCTATTTTTTTTTTTTTAAAGATTTTATTCATTTATTTGACAGAGAGAGAGACAGCGAGAGAGGGAACACAAGCAGGGGGAGTAGGAGAGGGAGAATCAGGCTTCCCGCGGAGCAGGGAGCCTGATTCAGGGCTCGATCCCAGGACCCTGGAATCATGACCCGAGCCGAAGGCAGATGCTTAAAGACTGAGCCACCCAGGCGCCCCCAGAGCAGCCTCATCTAGATGGAGTGCGGAGTCTCAGGGCCTCTTGGAGAAAGTGACATCCAAGCTGAGTGAGATGGCCAGGATAAGATGGCCAAAAGATGAAGGGAGCCTTAATGAATATTACCTCAGTGTTATTCTTACAAAGCGAAACTAGCAATGGGGAGATTAGAACAAACAGAGGCTGGACAGGTGGGCAGAGAAAGGGTCTAAAGGCCATGTTAAAACTTTTCGGATTTTATCCTTAAACCGGGGCAGGTTTGAAGAGCTATTTCGTTCCCAAACCATCATGAGTGAGGGTTATATACCGAGATGAACAGGGATGACAATGGAAAAGGAAGACCAGCTAAGAGAATCCTCTTGCAGGATTCCAGGCTTACCCTAGGGTGGTGGGAGTGGGAGTGAAGGGAAAGGGGCCAACTCAGTTTGTCCAAAAGTCAACACCTTTATCTTCCAGTGTTCAAAGCTCTCCCTCTCCCCTCAGTCCACTGCCTTCTCCCAATGCCTGGTATCCTTAGAAGGCTAAGTCTCCTACCCCCTTCACGTGGGCTATCTTGCCTAGAATGTCCTCTCTCCCCTTGATCTGGTCATATTTTAGTAGACACGAGTCAAACACACCTCGATTCAAAGACTCAAATCACTTACTAGGTCTGTGACTTGGCAAGTTAGTTCCTCTCTCTGAGTGGGTTTCCTGTCTGTGAAAAGATTTGGAAGTACCCGACTCATACGGTTGAAGGAAGTATTAATTAAGATAGTGCCTGGCACAAAGTAAATGGTCAATAAAAGTTAACTTTGCTTATCATTTACCCACCTAAACCTCAATTTAAAAATACAAGGGTATTAGTTTTCAATCGGGGAGTGGCAAGCTGGATTGGCTGAAGGGCTGGGCCAGTGGCATAACTGAGCAGAGTGGGGAGGGTGTAAGACAATGGGAAGGATGGGGACTGTGAAAATGAAAGAGACACGCTTTCTGCTGGCCAAACAAAACACTTTTGAGAACTGAATTTGCCCGAGGGCTGCCCGTGTGCAATCTCTTCCAGCTCTGACATTTTAGGTTTCCTCTCCTCTAAACTCCTTGTGTTTGGAGAGTGTGTACCACACAATTTAGACCATGCCTTCGCTCAAAAGATATAGTTTAGCGATTCTCTATGGTGGGACCGGTTGTCTTGGGGATAGTTGGCTCTCTATTTCTGGAGTCTTGGGTGTCTCTGGGGGTGAGCGAATCAGAAACGGTTATTTAGAATAAATTTGTACAATGTTCTTATTATGGGCCAGGCATTGTGCTCAGCTCTTTATAAACCTCATCTAGAGCCTCATCACAGCACTTTAACATACTAGCTGTTAACCATGCACTACACTGCCTCCATGAGGTAGAGAATTAAAGTCCCATGCTCTTAGCCACCCTGTGCCTAAGGCCCGTGAGTCACTTAAAGCAAGGGACAGCATGTGTGATGGTCTGCATTCAGGGTATCCTGGAGCTGAGCGCTTCTGAGGGCCATTGTGAAATTGTCAGGAATTTTGTGAGAAGGTCATAAAATCATTGGTAGCTTGAAATTGGCCATGGCCAGAGTACACCATGGAAATTGACAAATGCTATAAATCAGAGCTCCTCCTTCCCAGCCTGGAGAGGGGGTTGTTAAACATTTACCAGCTCATTACTGGTCAGCATACTTTCTCTAAAATTATGAAAGAGAACAAATGTGTCTGAATAAGGGAATGAGGGTGTCCGCTTGAGTGTGGTAACCAGGTGTGTCTCCGGCCAATGTTTGCACCTATAAGAGTGAGTGTGTGTGCATTTGAGGGTATGAATAAATTTGAAGCCATGAGTGTGAGTGAGGGATCAGTGCATGTATCTTAAGGGGTCATACGGTGTGAGTCAAAGAGTGAGAAATGAGGCAGGTGTGTCTATGTGTGTCAGTGAGTCAGGAAAAAACCAGATTTTTGTGTTAGGGAGTGGTGTAGTAAGAATATGAGAATAGGAGGTAAATGTGTGTATATAAGGGGCTACTTGTTTTGCAGACAGGCGTGGGTAGGTATATTGAAGGTCAGTGTTTTAGGAGAGGGTGTCTGAAAAGGCTAGTATGTGTTGGAGGAGCAAATCTGTGTCTGGGGAAGTTTGTTTCTTTTTTTTTTTTTTAAAGATTTTATTTATTTATTTGAGAGAGAGAATGAGAGACAGAGAGCACGAGAGGGGAGAGGGTCAGAGGGAGAAGCAGGGGAAGTTTGTTTCTAAGGGGACTTAGAAACCTGAACTCAGGGTCTAAGGGTGTGTCTGAGGGTGAATCGGAAATAAGACTACAAAAAGCAGAATGATTATTTTAGCCTTGGTCCTTGCATCCGCTAACATTAGATTCTGCTTCAAATAACAGAAAAACACCTGTGTTTTGGTAAGCAAACAGTGGCTTTGGTAAGACAACATTATTTGTCTTTCTTATAAGCATCCAGAGGCAGGTAGCTCAAGGCTGGTGTACAGCTCTGCTCCATGAAATCCTCAGGTCAGGGACCTGGGTCATGGCTCCATAATCCCTCAAGATCCAAAATGGTGGCTAAATATCCTGTCACAAATCTCTGATCACATCTTCTTCTAATCCTTTTACTTGAAACCTCTGGTAACATTATTCACATTCGTGATTTCACCTTGCTGATGATTCTGGATCTGTAGCTCTGCCCAGCTTTTTATGTAGATCGTTATACTAATACATCCAAATGACCGTTGGTCATCTCTCTTGTGATGTCACAGAGACCTCAATTTCAACATGTTAAAAATCACCCTTAATTATTTCCCCAGCTTCATCCTGTGGTCTCAGTCCCTGTTCCCCCACCCCCTTCTCCAAATGGCACCGCCCTGTTGCCCAAGACAGAAAACCGAGCACTTTTTCCTACCCACTCTGTCTCCATCTTACCAGTTTTACCATTCTGCACTCCAAGTATCTCCTGAAACTGTCCCATTCTCTCTACCTCATGGCCACTATCTTAGTTCTAGCTTGCATCATTTCTAGGTTGCATTGCTATGACTGACTTAAGTCTAGGTTGTCAGTAACTTTTTTTTTTAAGACTTTATTTGACAAAGAGAGAGGGAGACAGAGAGAGCACAAGTAGGGGGAGCAGCAGAGGGAGAGGAAAAAGCACCCTCCCTGCTGAGCAGGGAGCCCTAATCCTGGCTCCATCCCAGGACCCTGAGATCATGATCTGAGCTGAGGGCAGACGCTTAACGGAATGAGCCATCCAGGCGCCCCCTTTGTCACTAACTTTTCTAAAACAAGAATTTGATCTAACAAGTCAAGTAACAACTTCCTGACTTAAGAATCCTTCATTAGCTCCTTTGTTAGGCTCAATGCTATAGAAAGCACCTATGGAGCTTTCTAAACACACAGATGGCTGATCCCACTCCCAATCTGATGAATAACAATCATAGCTGATGTTGACTTCTATGTTAGGCATTGCACTAGATGCTTTGTTATAGATTTTCTCACTTCATCCCCGCAACAACTTCATGAGTAGGTGTTACTCTATACCAACTGTGGACACTAGAACACAAGAGAATCAGGATTTTGCCTGAAGTTACTGGACCATACGCAGTGGAAGTGAGCTAGGGAGCCAGGCTATCTAATTCCAAAGTCCAGGTTCTTTTTTTTTTTTTT